AACTTTGATTCTTATTTAGTTGCACTAAATTAGTGTGTTATCATTGTTCAGTGAATTTGTGGGCTACCTACTTACATAGTACCTAGTAATGTTTATTGAATGAATGGATGAATAGATGTTTGGAAGAGGCTTTCAGAAACAATTCCCTTTATAGACTAAATCCAATGTTACTTTGCTTTTAAAAATTATTTTATCTAACATTTATTTATTTGTTTAATTTTTAAAATTTGACCAGAGAGGGACACAGAGAGGGGGAGAGGAAGAGAGAGAGAGAGTGAGAAAGCAAGCTTCCAGGTCTGGGACTTGAACCACAGTCAGCCATGTGGGAGTCCAGCACCCGTAACTACCACGCCACCTGCTGGCCCTGCCAATGTTTCTTTTGTTTAATTCTTTCGTTTGGAATAACTAAAAACTTACAGAAAAGTTGCCATAATAATACAGAGAACTTGCACATATCCCTTACACAAGTTCATCAATTTTTAACATTTCGCTATATTTGCTCTATCATTTCTCTCTTTTTTTTTTGAGATAGATTTTTGCTATTGGGTGAATACACTTGCTGGAGAGACAGACAGAAAGCAAGAAGTCACCCCCTAGAGGGGATGGCCATGCAGCACTCCCTTCTCCTCCATTCTCCTCTCAGGATTTTGGGCACTCACATCTGGTGTGAGTGTCGTCAGTGGGTCTGGGACTCAAACCATGGTAAGGCATGTGGGAGTACAGCAATGTAACCATTATGCTATTTTTTTAGAGGTTTTTGCCATAAAGCATGTGTGCTCTGTGGAAAGAGAGAGAGAGACAGAAACAGTAAGAGGGAAAGTGAGAAATCACCCCCCAAGGGGGATGGCCATGCCACAGTCCCTTCTCCTCCATTCTCCTGGGATCATAGGCATACGTGCACATGTGTCCAGCATGATTTTGAAGACACCAGTCTGGGACTTGAACCATAGTCAGCCATGTGGGAGTCCAGCGATGTAACCACTGCTCTATCTACTGTCCTCTCTCTTTTTCTACATACATACTCTTATTATTATTATTTTAATTTATCTTATAAATTTAATAATTGTACATCATTACAGCTTGTAAAATGAATTTACCCAACATGAACACACTTCCCACTGATCTAGCTGAAGAATCATACATGTTATTATCAACAGACAATCCTCCATTTTTGTATACACATATTTTATTATTTATTTTCCACTTGAGAATAAGTTGCAGCCATTATGCCCCTTTACCTCTCAGCACTTGAGCGTGCATTTCCTGTGAGTGAGAGTCTTCTCCTACATAACCAGGATGTGTTACGGAATTCCGGCCACGTCCCACTGCTACAGTGCATTCCGGTCGCCAGCCAGTCCTGCAGTGGGGTCAGCAGGGCCGTCTTCCGTAGCACCTCTCCCCGAGGTGCAGCCGTCCCGTACAAGCCTCTGGCTGCCCTGCCTCTGTCTCTCCTCGAATCTGGAGCATTGCCAGATGTTAACCTTATCACCTGGTCAAGCTGTTTCCTGCTTTCTCTGTGTAACTGCCTCTTTTCACCCTTGCAAGTAATAAGCAATCTGGGAGAAACCTTCAGACCATGCAGACACCCTGCCCTCCTCACACTGTCTCCCTATATGGTCCATCTTCATCTGTACATGATAGTCTATGACATTCTCCTTGCTTTGGGATTGGGGCTCACTGATCAATGTTAATGTCCATTCTTTGGGAAGGTATAATGCTATCTCCTCTTGTGCATAAGGTAAAGGGCATAACATCATAATTTTTAATTATATCATGGCAATCACAATCTAAAATAATAAATCCTAGATATTACCAAACCTCTTGTTTCCCATTGCTTTTCAGGCATCAATGGCTATGTTTTTGATAGCTTGCAGTTGTCAGTTTGTTTACATGAAGTGGCATACTGGTACATTCTAAGCATTGGAGCACAAACTGACTTCCTATCTGTCTTCTTCTCTGGATATACCTTCAAACACAAAATGGTCTATGAAGACACACTTACCCTATTTCCATTCTCAGGAGAAACTGTCTTCATGTCAATGGAAAACCCAGGTTAGTTATTTATATGACTTTACTAACTGTTGTAATTGCTTCTCTAGCTACTCGTATACTATTTTGCTCACTAGCTTACATTTGGGCAGCTTCTAAATAGTTAAAGTGATTTGGGTAATTGCAAGGCAGTTTGATGGCAGCACCAATTCGAGTAGTTAATTTAAGTCTTTGCTCTACAAGCTGCCTTTATTTGCCATGGGTTGAATTTTTAAGTGTTTTCTAAGTCATACTGATTGACATATATTTGTACTTGTGATGAACATTTGGGAGCCAAACATATTTCTGTGTGCTTTGTGAAGATTTATATCACTGGATAAATGCTACCTAGCCTTTGTGAAGTACATAGTAATCTCTTGCGCACATACACCCAAACTATTGTGAGACCTGCAGAACAAATGTGACCCTCATTCTCAATAACCACAGGAAGACTTTTGAGACCACCAGGCCTAAATCCAACATCAAGTATTCTATATACAAGCACTAGGCCACACCAAGCTTCCTGGTCCTTCTAGCCCCCATTCTCTGTACAGGGAAGAACAAACTATCTGCAAATTATAGTTATTCTCTTACTCTTATGTTTTTCCTGTAAATAAATCCTCATGGAAATTTCTGGGGAAGAAAACCTAATTTAATCATGCACAAGCACATACTTGGAAAATTAATCTTACTTCAAGTAATGTTTTTTATTAGTTTAATTTTGGGGTTTCTTTTTCTTTTTCTTTTTTCTTTCTTTTTTTTTTTTTTTTTTCTTTTTTT